CGCCGCACGGCCGGTGGGACGGGAGCCCTTTGGGGAGCGCGGGGCGGAGGGGGGCTGGGCAGGGCGCACCGCAGTGCTTCCCCTGCTTTCCTTTGGGGCTCCGGCCCCAGCTTCCCTTCCCGTTTGTGCCAGTGGTGTGGATCTCACTGCTGCCTCTCACCTCGAGTCTCTGCCTGATGTGCCACTCTCTCCCCTCCTGCGGGGCGTCCGCTGAGTCTCCTGACCCTCTTCCCATCTCGCATGCTGCCTCCGCGAGCTCCTGCATCCTGGTGCTGGTGGTGGGTTTCTGATCCAGCTGCTGTGGTGAGAGCACGTGTCACCGCAGAGCTGGCGTGAGTAAACACTGATACAGCCTCGTCAGTGCTGGCTTCTGTCTGCTCTATCCCTGGGCTGGGGCTGTGCTGTATTTGCTCGGGCACAACATCGTAGCGGAGCTCTGGCCCACGTCTGGCACTCGTATGCTGGCAGGCGACTTGAACTGGTACAGCACCTCTCCCTCCTTGCTGGTGCTCCCCCCTCCTCCCAAAATCGAGCCCTGACCCTGATTGTTGCCAGATAACCTGAATCATTTTGATTTTGTTCATTTTTTGGTGCTCCACTGGTCCAGAGGCATGACTGAGAGGCGTAACTGCGGGCGCGCAGCCGGTCGCGCGGCGTTGGTTTGCTCTGCCTGTGGCTCGAAGGAAACACAAGATCTCAGAATAGAGTCAGGAGTCAAACCTGCCTCCACCCCCCGTTAGCAACTCTATTTATATCTGCGGGCAGCTTCATAGGAAGAGCAGATGTGGTTCCCTAGCAGCAGTTTGCAGTGTCTTCCGCCTGCAGTGCATGGTCTCAGGGCCCGTGTTAGGTTTTGGTGTGAGTCGAGGCCATGCTGCTGTGCGTTCTCCGGCACACCCCGCTGCCCTGGGGAGAGCAGGGCTGTTGCAGAGGTGGGACGCGTGTCCATGCTGCAGAGCACGGTCCTCTGCTCCCAGGGAGTGACCTGTGCTGAAGAGTGCATAGTCATAAAAGGTTTGGTACTGGGCTGCACCTCAGATCTTGTGCTCGGTATAGGAATGAATTATTGTCTTCCAGGACAATCCTTACCTAGTCTGGACTGTTCACGTCACTTCTGTGCCTTCCAGTGCGTGTCTGACTGTCGCTTCTCCCGCAGCGGTGCCTCCTGGCAGCAGCTGCCGTTCTGCCTTTCCTGCTGGTGGGGTTCACTGCTCAGTAAGATGTCCCTGCGGTGGTGGTCTTACATCCTGAGGCCTCTCGTGTCTTCTCGGTGGTGTTTGTCCTCAAGAATTTCTGCTCACTGTAAGAGAAGCACGAGCAGCTGTGTGAGTTTCGCCCCGTCTCTGGCGAGCTCTGGTGCTGGCTTGGAGCTGCGGGGCTGCCCTGGCCCCGCGATGCTGGATGTTGGGAGAGGGTCTGTTCCCCTGCAGACAGTGCCCGCACAGCGTTGCCCAAATTGGCCGCTTACCACAACTCTTTCGCAGCAGTGGTTGCCCGTTTGTATTGGAAAAGCTTTCAAGATGTGCTGGTTGCTGAGCCGTGCGGCGCAGGTTGCACGTGTTCCCCGGATCTGCTCGGGGAGAGCAGGAGGGCCCGTGTTAGGACACAGGTGGTTTCGTAGGTCCAGCAGGCAGAGGCCCGTTTCCAAAGCCGTGGTGTCCTAGTCATGCCTCAGTTCTCACTTTGCCAAAGAATTTTTGTTTTCCTGGGAAACGAAATACAGCACAGCTTCATACTCTTCCCCTGTGCTCTAAATCGCCCTGGACTTCTCTGCAGGGGAAGGACCGGGGTCGCTCCTTTTGCTTTCTTGAGGGAGCTTTGAGCACATGGCTTGAAGAGCCCAGCCCAGGTCCCTCTTCAGAGTTAACACCACACACAACTCGCCAGTGACTGACTACTAACTGCAGCTTTCCCTGAATTCTGGCATGTCTTGAGAGCCATCGCAGCCGTCTTGAGAGTCATTTTGGTAGTGGAAGGCATGGGGCAGGGGGCTGCAAGGGGGGACCGTTGAAGAGTTTGAACTGTGGGATGGGGATGTAGCAGGGAGGGTGCAGGATTGGGAGCAGTGCCTGAGGCCAGCTAGTTTTTTGGGACAGGACTGGGAGTAGACTGAAGAAAACTGATTCTGGGGGAGATTTAGGACAGTAGTAGCACCAGGCGGCACATGAGGGTCCTAATGAGAGCAGCCTGATCACTAAAAAAAGTGCCAGAATAGTATAACTCCCTGGCACACAGAAAAATGTGTGGAGCTGGGAAAGGACAAATGACCC